TACGGGCAGCACGTCGCGGCGTGAGCGTCGAGACGAGGCCGCCGGCACACTCTCTCGTATCCTCGGCGCTCGGACTGGAGCGGCGCTCGGACTGGGCTCGAGCGGCTGCGTGTGTGAGTGGCTCTTGAAGAGAGATTCAATCTATCTGCTGATGGAGGCAGCCCTGAAGTGCTCGCTTCCCTTGCAGGTTCTAGAGATTTGGATGGGAAGATAGAGGATCGAGCCGGGTCGACGCCGCACCTACAGGCAGGACGCTGCGGCGTGAGCCAGCGTCGCGACGAGGCCGCGCTGGCACGCTGACTGTCGCATCCACGGCACTCGGAGGCGATTGGCAAGCGGCATTCGCTGTCTTGCCGGAAGACAGACAGGGCGGCCCGGCGCGGCGAGCGGGGCAAGTTCGGGCAGTGGTGCGAGGGCATGCCGAGGGGGGGTACAACAGCGCTCAGGCGGCGAGCGAAGCGCATCGCATGGGAGTGACGCAGGTGTGGATCCTCACGTGAGCAACAGGCGCCGTGGGGATCCAGGCGTGCAGCTTGCAGCGGCAAGCCGGCGGCGCAATGCGGCGGGGCAGAGCCGAGAGGAAGGGGAGAAGGCTTGCCTTGTGGCTTGGTTGTCTCGACTTTGACGGGGGAACAACAAAAAAAATGTTTCTCGGGTGCGTTGGCCTCTTTCGTAGGGAAGAATTTTGATACCCGTCAAGACGCCTGCTGGGGGCAGCTTTGCGATGAAGCCGTTTGTTCCCGTGTGCGCGACTGTGCAACGAAGGACCGCTCGCAGAGGACCATTGGGTTTGTACTATTAACAACGAAGGCGCTCTCAAAAAAAATCACGTAAACGGAAAACACATAAATCTTAAATGCGCCCGACAGCGGAGCGCCGCAGGCTGTCACGTCAAGGTCGCTCCGTCAACGGACTCTGACTCCCGCCTCCTGGCCCGTCACATACACGCAACATGCAAATGTGAAATGTCGCACTATCCACATTGAGAGGCGTCGCCCGCGGCGTGTCCGCCGCCGGAGTGCGCCCCGCCTCTATCGCTCACCTGCAGCTTCGCACCGCCATGAGCGCGAGGACGGCCAGCTGCTCCTCCTTCGCCCCGCCATGCGCGCATCCACCTGTCGAGCGAGCGAGAGGAGAGGGAGGCGTCAGGCGGAGGGAGGCATGTTGGGGGGCGGGGGGGCAGGCGCCATAGGGACGTATTGAGGCAGGGAGCTCGG